AATAAATAACGCCATATTACTTGGTTCACACAAGGTGAACATTTCATGGTTAGTACATGGATAAACTGACTATTTGTGGGTAAGCTTTATGATAAATAATTATTTTTAACAAAAATTAGAATCTTGGCATTTTAATCTAGCAGCTTCAAAAACAAGTTTTTAATATCTTATAAAGAATATATGTTCTATAAATATCAACCCTAACTTCAACTATTTAAAAATATTTTTTCCTATTTCAGTTCATAAAAAACCAATTACAATACAATGTTCTTATATTATCAAGATGATAAAGTAGGTAATTATACTAACTATTATAGGATGTTAAACATAAATATACAAAAATATATGTCATATCCTATTTATATTGTGAAAATTAATTTACATTATACTAAACTCTCAAATTTCGGTTAAAAAAATGTCGGAATGACGTAATTTCAAAAGTAGCTATCTTTTTGACCTTTGGTCTCGTGTATACCAATCAATTTTTAATGCAATCGTTCAATAATAATATTTACTCTTGTTAAATATACTGCATATACAGCATCTATAATTAATAATTTATTTATGTTAAAAACAATAATATATTATTAATCATTATTATTTAATTGTTTTGACAATTTATTCTTTATAATGAATATTAATTGGAACCTTTTTTTAATTAAATAGAGGACAAAATATCATACCCCCTTTATCTTTATAACTGATATTATTATTAAGCCATTAGGGCTAATGCTGAGCAAATCAAACATTTCACAATCAATAAGATGTTCATGTAATATCTTTTATTTCCTTATTAACGATATATTTTAATCATATTTATTTATAATTCATAATACTGTGCCACAATCCTGTTTGTCATGTGATTATTCAGCAAAAGATTTTTCACTACTAATCTTTGTAATTTGGTAGCATTCAACCATTTTGGCCAATATTATAAAGTTCTTATCCACGGTATTGTTAAATACATGATATATAAGGTTTAGTATAATACTTGGATTTCAATGGAAATTAAGAAAATGGTTATGACAAATAATAAAAATAATGTAAGAGTTTTGATAGTCATGTGAACTTTTAGGGTGGCTTCGATAAAACCTTTCCTTTATTCTTTATAGAACGGGACCAGGAATTTATCGAAATCTCTTTGGGAATTCTTTACAAATTTGAGAAAATAAGAAATAAAACTAGGTAAGAAACTAGTAAATAAACCAGTATTGATTTTTTTTCTAAAAAAAAAAAAAAAATTCATCTATTTTTAAAGAAAAATTTATTTTTGGATTTTTTTTTTTTGATTCCTCTTTATCTAGTGACGTAAACTTCTGATGTATCAGCAAAAGCATCTGACGACAACAATCTTATCATTTTTTTATGTAAATTTAACCCTTAAAAGCCTCCTGAGAACTAGTTTCTCCCCGAAAATCACCTAATGCACAATTTGTTTGAAACCTGATCATCAATCCATCGTTAAATACAAAGAAGTCCTACGTATTTACAAAATTATCCAATCAAATTTCACGAATTAACAAATTTTTTCTCGTGATCATATTTACGTTCCCTATTGAACATTTTTCGGTTTAATCGTCGTCACGGTTAAATTTCATTTCCGCCTACGTAACGAGAATCCGGATGTTGATTTAATAACTTTATTCTAATATTGAAGATATTACGAGTTTCAATAATAATACTGTATACGAATTTCATAAATTAATAACCACTTATTAACCACTTTCAATTTGGACGTCATTTATGCAGTTATCACAATCATTTCATCACTTCACATTTTGATCTGCCTTCCCCCATAAAATCATAACTTTAAAATAAACACCCCAAACCTTAAATTATCATTCAAGAACGTTTCGCATTGAAAAAAATTCTGTGGCAGAAACAAAAACACTCCTGCATCAACGAATCACTTGTGTGGCTGATGCATACAATGTGGTCATAGTAAAGGTGACACGATGCATGGTTGAGGCGCTGAGGCGAGATGTGGCGTATGCGGCTGATGCGCAAGAGAAGATCAAAGATATAAATAAAAAATGATGTAAATAAACCGAAAGCAACGTAAATGGTACAGTGCATCGGCTGATGAAATAGCAACGCGCGATAAAAAAAAGAGGCGGTTCTGTGCAGAATGGTGTGTCAAGTGAGACATTTGATAGTACTTTTGTGCGATCGTTGTGTCACACCAGATAAAAGAAAAAAGAAATTTTTTTCGTTGTTTGAGGAAATGTGGATTGGTGTAATGTTTATAATTTGTCCCAACAAAAGATTAACCAAACTCACCGAAAATGTGAAAGGGTTATTTGGTTATATAATCCAAATATAATTTTTTGTTTGAGGTTTTACAAATAGAGCTTCAATAATTTGTGTTTAAAAAAAAAATTGTGAATGGTAAATTGCGGAAAGAATAATATTTGCCACATTTGGTGAATTTATTTTTTAAATGTAAATTTTTTTTTGTTATCTAAATCAAGAAAATGATCTTTTTTTTTTTTAAGAAAAAAAAAAAAATAAAATAAAATAAAATAAATAAAAATAATAACAATTTATATGAAAAAAAACAAATAAAATAAAATTCGACATTATAAACGTTTCTTGAAAGGGAATTTTCGCATAAAAATATGGTAAGTATTTCTAAATAGAGATATATTGTGACACCGAAATTAAAATTATTAAAAATTCAAGGGGAGATTTACACAAACAAGATTATCATGAAATAAAGAGAAGACAAAGAGGGTAATATGTCAAAGAGCGGCTGGTGTTCAACTTTTTTTTTTTTTTTTTTTCATGTAACCATATTTATTGGTTCCATGTTAAAAGGAGGCGCCTCTTTATCATCTCAAATAATGTGTGTAACATTAGTCGTTCACCATGTGAGACCCAAAACCAATACCTATATTTTTTATATTTTTTTCTTTTGATGATCGACCTAAATTACCAATAATGACAAATAATAGCGTCTAAAACACGTCCAATTGTACTTTTTTTTTTTTTAAAAAAAAAAATATTCTAAACATTCGAGACCTTTTTTCGTCAGATATCTTTTCTATGCCGTCGAACAAAATGTGTAAAAAAAGAAAAGAAAAGAAATTCAGAAATTTCGAGACCTTTGGTTAATAACAATCCACCAAAAAATGTTAAATTCGTATGGTCATACAACACATAAAGCCATAACGTAATATTACATAATCGTGAACTAGCCTTAATAATGGCATATGTGTCACTATTTGTACACGCGTACGAGATAAATTAGAACAACGCTTTTTTGAGTTTTGGGTGTCCATCGTTCTTAAGTAACGACATGGTTTCTTTATTATCCTATCCTCCCCCCTTATCTATTTACAAGTAGTTTGCTTACACAATTAAACCTTCGTGACATCTAAAGTCTCAAAACACGAATTTATTTAAAGAAACCTACTTGCAGATCTTAATTTTACGCGGCGATCTTAATGAATAATTAAATTTACCATTAGAATATTTTATCGAGTGATTAATTTCGGTATTGTCCACGGGAAGTGACACTTTACACCTTCTTACTTTGAACGTGAAAGATGTAAATAGGGGCTTTTTTTTTTTTTTAAAAAAAAATAAAAATCGCGTTACTTCAATGAAAGTGGACCTTAAAAAAGGGGACCCATTTTAAAGAAAATGTGACAAAAACAAAAACAAAAAAGCCATGAGCCTTTAAAGCCTCCTTGTTATGTTGTATGATGTTTCTTTGAATCGGAAAAAACTTTATAGAAGCGTATTTGCAATTAAAACAAAGAATTAAGTAATTTTTTGGTAGAAGCCACACTCCCAACTTCCTCATGCACAACATAACCATAACCAACCGACGCCTTTTACAAATATTTTTATTCATTGTAACTAATCACCTGAGAAGAGAATCTGCCCACAGCTTTTAGCGGCATAATCCGTTTGCATAACCTCTATACAGTTATCTAATTTTGGTAATCGAATGCTTATTTATTATAGAGTTCTCAAAATTACAGTTTTTTAAACGTCTGTTACATGAAAACACATTTAGAATTCAAAATTTTCCAATCCTTTTTCTCCGTGTTAAATTCAAAAAAAAACCGATTTGTTCACTTTTAACTTTGAATTAAATTTAAAAATAATTACCTGACGGTTAATATTGATCAACACACATGTATTTAATTATAGCATGGTCCGTATCGGGAAAAAGCCAATTGAACTTTGCTAAAAATAGTAAACCATACTAAAACCTTGAATTTTGGGTTAGTATTGTTTGTTTTGTTTGATGATTTTCTAAAAGATAATTGCATAGCTCTGAAACAAAAAAAAAAAACCAGCAAAATTAATTGAATTTGTCGCCTTTTATCAATCATAATTATCATTAAATAAGCATAACAACCACAGGTTATACATTCATTATTTTGGAGAAAAAATTGTTTTTTTCGTTTTATTAAAATGAAATTTTTTTTTTTATTTTTTAATATATTTACAAATTCTTTCGAAAATAGATGAAAAACAAAAACTAAATTAAATAATTTTTTTTTTTTTTTTTTTTTTTTTTGATATTTAAAATTTTTTTTTTAAAAAGACAACCATAAGAAAGAAAAGTTCATAAGACGAGAATACCATGATTACATCTCAAAAAAAGATTTCAGGATGTGTCAGTCTATATAATCCATAGATTCACTGCTTCTCTTTCTTACAAAATAAAAATACAAAAAATTTTAAAATATAATATATAATATAATGTAATAAATGAAAAATGTATATATAATGAAAAAGTTTACAAAGATTTTTTTTTAAAAAAAATCATAATATTTAAAATAAATACAAAGAGAATTCAAATTCTTTTTAGAAGAGAGGAGGAAATACGTGTTGTGTTTTTGTTGTGTAAATGAAAAAAAAGTCCTTTTTAGTATAACATGAATTGGGATGATAAATAAAAATATAATGAAAAATAAAAAAGCTATGATTTTGAATTGTAAAATGTTTATGATTTATAAAATATATGTGCACGAACCCCATTATCAGTTACTGAAGTTGCCGAAACTAACATCATCCGTTGGTGATGTTGTGTTCGTTTCATCTATTGGCAAATATTCATAATAAGGGTAGTATGAGTAATTGGTTAATGGGTAACTAGAATATTCGGGAGCAGTCATCAGAATCGACGATTGATTCACATGATGCGACACATTATTTGCTCCGTGAAAACACTTTGATTCAGGAAGGATCGGTTGCTGCTGCTGCTGCTGTTGTTGTTGTTGTTGCTGTTCTGATGGTGTGGACGGGCTGCCATTTGCTTCTTCGTTATTAAACTCGTACCTTCCAGAAGCGATCTCAGATTCATCAGAAGATGAATGCAAATTAAGGGGCATCTCAACCTGATCTTCTGTATCATTAAGCGACGATGTGATTGGAAAAGAAATTGGTATCATCGGCGAGACCACCGGTAAGTGGCTATCAAATGTTTGAACTCCCGACTGAACGTTTTCTTCAATTCTGTTCATGAGCTCATTGGAAGACGATGTCGTTGAAATAGATGCGCCCTTCTCACACGAATTTGCACAATCGACAAATCGTTGTAAACTTTGCATGATGCTCGGAATGTAGTCAATATTCTTTGGATCAGGGAGCCTTGTTAATAGCTCATAGGTGATGACCAAAATAGGTTTTATGCATCGACCAAATCTAATTGCGTCCTTTAACTCATTGAAAAGCTGTAAAAGCTCTGGAGAGTTGAAATGTTCTTTGGATTCATACAACATACAGAGAATTTCTTTCTCCAATTCCTTTATTGTCAGTTTTTCATCAATTTCACGCGTGATTGATTCCAACTGAACCTCGACTTCTGTGAGACGGTGTTTTAACAACTCAACCTGTTTGTTCTTGCGAGGCGAGTTGTCATATTTGCAATGTTGAGGGTCGCAGTTGCTGCAGGGTTTTCCAGATTCTGCGTCACCATCACATTTTATTTTACCCTGTCGACAACGTTGACATGCGCGTTTGTTGATGGGACCACGGGTTCGCTTTGCAAGTACATTGCTTGATTGATTGGGCTGACTGTGTCGAGCGGTTGTTGGTCGTGAAGCTGTCATGGTTAATTTATTTTGAAGTTTGAAATTGTTGTGATCGTTGAGGGGACAAAATAAAAAAACAATTGAATGGTAAATGTTCCGCAGTTGCGACAATAAATAATTATGAATTTAAGAGAGGTATGTTTGAAATGAGACCGAAAAAAAAAAAAAAAAGCGAAAAAAACAAATTTTTTTTTTGTGAAAATAAGAATATTAAAATATTATGTTTCTTATTTAAGAAAAAAAAGATTTGAACAAGAAAAGTAAGTTTTTTTCCACTTTAAAATAAAGATAAAAAATAAAGTTTTTTTTTTTTTCCGTTTTATTTTTATTTTTAATTGTTTTTTTTTTTTTTTTTTTTTTTTTTTTTGATATTGGATATTAAAAAAAAATAAAAAAGTCAAGAGTATGATTTTTTTTTTAAGAGTATATATATTTTTTTTTTCAGAGGATTTCTCTTTTTTTTTTTGATAAATTTTTTGGAGGAAATACCCTTTATATACATTTTTTAAATTTTTTTTGAAAACGCAAATTATTTTTTACTGTATAAAGTAAATAAATGCCATTTAGTTCAGTTCCCTTCAGTTAAGAATATACAGGATTAATGTAAAAATTCTATTAAAGTGAACTTAAATGAATTAATTATATATTGTAAATCTTATTTTAAAATATTTATATTCGAACCAATTTTGTATTTTTTTGAAAGTTCATTCCAATATGGGAAGATTAACGAGGGGAGGGATATTCAGACCCCAAATCTTCTTTCGGTGACCGTTTGGTAAATGTCACGTTCGTCAGATGTCACATTGGCGTTTTTCCCAATTAAGGGAAACGTTATAAGGCGAGAAAAAAGTTAAAAAAGTGAAATAATATATTGGGAAATATTAATTAAAAAAAATTTTTTTTATTGTTGTTTGAAAGGGATCTTTTTTTTTTTTTTTTTTTTTATTATTTATTTTATTTTTATTTTATTTTTTATTTTATTTTTATTTAATTTTTTTTTTTTTTTTAAAAAAAAAATTCTTATTCTTATTCTTGTTATTATGACTAACCCATTGAATCTTTTTTCACAATCTCCTTTTTCTTTATTTATTCAGTTCAAAAGACAACACAGTTTTTTGATTCCCATTGTATGCATTCATCAAAATAAAAATTCCTTCGAAAACCTTTTACAATTGATGACAAATTTTTCAAACAAAACTAAAAGGTAGATAGATACATTACCCACAAACCTGATCTTAGACAGTATGTAAACGGAAAGTTCCCGATTAATTTTTAAAATTATTAGCCTCCAATATAACCCACTTTGTTGGCTGCTTGTACGACCTTATTGGATTAATGACCAATTAGCACCTTACGAATATGCAAGATCAAAAGAGGAACCGTATCCACTCAAGAAAAAAGATGTGGCGATATTATATTTTCTATTATATAATTTTTTTTTAATTTTCCTTTTTTTTTTTTGAGGGAGAAAGAATATAATAATGAATTGTGAATCATTTTTTTTTTTTTTTTTTTAAAAAAAATAAAAAAAAACAAAAAAAAAAGCTTAATCGAATTAGTGGCTGAAACCGAAAAAAAATAAATTAAAAATAAAATTAATAAATAAAAATATTTTAAAAATAAGTTAAAAAAAATGAACCACTCCTGAAAATTTCCTTATCAAAAGCTAAATTAGTTTATGGACCCCCGATTTACTAAAATTAAATTAAATATATATTTTCAATATTCGACTCATCAAAAACTTTCTTCCAAATTTATTCCATTATTATCCGAGCGTTTAAGCATTGGGGGGTTTATTTGTGCGTTACATCTTATTATTGTAATAAATTTGATCGTAAAAAAGGTGATGATATCATTCATGACCGGCCGGAATTTTTCAAGATTTTTTTTTTTTTTTTTTTTGTATATTGTCCGTCTTTTCCATAAAAAAACATTCGGTTCCATCGGTTACACGCCAAAAATTAAAATGTGACAATTTCAACATGGACGTTTTCAGGTTCGGTGGCTCGTTCCACATATATTGCCAATTTTGTCTATCTGAAACATAATGAGAGGTACTTATCAAGCGGAGATTCCGTTTAAGCAAAAACATTCATTCGCTTTGATATTGTTTTACGAAAAAGAAATACGGTGCTTGGGAAAAAAAAAAAAGCTTTGCAATACCTTTTTTTTTTGTTTTTTTTCGTAGAAATCGACATGTCTTTGTTTGTTATTTATGAATGAAATTTGATTTGTCCCCATGAAAAGATTGTAACTTTCAAATCAATTATTCACAAAAATTATGAATGTGGTAAGCACATATTTATTATATATGAAGTCAAAAAATTCCTTCGAATTGTGGCACAAAAAAGCAAAGCGAAATGAGTTCTCTTCATTGGGGTTACCTATTAAACGTAAATGCAATTTAAAGGGCTTGCAGATTTGGACGTAAAAAAATAAAACGTGGTGATCCTGTGTAAATTTGCGATTGTTCATTGAGGAAAAAATCAACAAACTAGCTGAATAATCAAATAGAAATTTCTTTGACAACACTTTTTATCTAGCTTGGCAAATCTTTTTATCTTATTGTCCAAGAATTCTTTTGTGGACTTTCCATGAAGTCAGGGGTCATTTTTCACTCTTGAGATACGATAATTTGGTAAGAATAATGGTTCAAAATATGGTGTAAAAATAGATGTACCTGGGTAAGTTTTGGGTCACCGGTCATGTATCGGTCATGAGTCATGTTCATGCGGGGTGACACTTTAAAGAATTTTCCAAGTCACGAGTTGCAGTTTGGAAGAAAAAAAAAAAAAAAAAAAAGATAAATAAAAAAAAAAAAAACTTGCGCTAACGCGAATCAGAAGCTTCGGGTAATTTGTAATTTTTTAAAAATAAATAAAACAAAAAATACGTGTGGTTGACAATTGGTAACAAGCAAAAGGAAGTCAATTCTATCAGAAAAGGCAAACTCGTGAGAACTTTTATCCATACTTTCCGCAAAGACTCATTTCAATTGAATGCTTACTAATGCAAATTAACGATGGGGTTTTTTTTATTCCATCCCTCAATAAGAATCAGTCTTACACGGGTCATTCAAGCAAAGTGTGCATCTTTCATAATTTTTTTTTGCAGGAAAAAAAAATCGAATCACATCATCCCCACACTCCTCCTCCCTTCCCTACCAAAATCATTGTATAAAGAGAATAACTTTTTGGCCCGCATTTCGTTCAACCATTTTTGTAACCTTTAAGAGGAATAATGGAAAGTAACACCACCAGCCAAAGAAATAACAATATAACGTTTCATTAACAAAGAGAACATTTCCTAATTTGATCACAATTAGGAAAAAAAAAAAGATTTTTTATTCTTCATATTATTTTTCAAAAAAAATTTTAAGTTATTCTAGGGAGAAAGGAAATTCGCCGTAGTAGACTAGCCATTTTTGTATTGTTGTCATTTGGTGGGACCGTTTCTTTGAATATAATACTTATCTTTATAAATGAAGAATATAAGATTTTTTCCTCTGGACTAAATGAGGAATCCGATTAACATATTTAAACATACATAAAAAAAATTTTTTAGATAATTTTCCGTTTTAAATTTTCCTACAATAGCATGTAAAAAAAAAAAAAAAAAAAAAAGGTATCATTATCTGAATGAAAGCAAAGATTGACGTATTTTTTTTTTTTTTAAAAAAAAATTTAATAACCTCAGGAAGTTACGAATTAATAATCCAAATTTTTCTTGTTGCTTGATTATGAATGTATATATGATATCATGATTGTTTCATAATTAAAAAATAAATGGACCTGCTGTGATAAGCCACAACATTAGCTATTATAAAATAAAAATGTGTTTCGAATGAATAGAGAAATGGGGACGCAATTTGGGGGGCCACCCCACTTCATTCGCCTCTTGACTAATATGACAAATATGTTTAGCGTCTGAAAAAGCGACCGCAGTTGCTCATTGACCGCAACAATTACGGCAATTCATGTATTACAAATAAAACACAAGAGTTGCTCTCGGTAGCACAATATTGATAGAAATTAAAATCGCTATGTAATCATCAACAGATAATTCCTACGTAATACCTTCCAAAAAGGAAAGCAAACAATGACTGCGGGTCCGTGTTTAATTTTGTGGCAGTTATTGAAAATTCAGGGTTATACTTTTTATTATTATGGTAATAGATGTTTGATTGAATATGATTACCCAAAAGAGTGAATGTATAATCCAACTAATATGTCAAGAAAAAAAAAAAGAGGTACGCACCGTAATTAAAAGGGAATTCCTTCCCCCATGATATCGTCTTGCATATTTTTATGAAAAAAAAAAAGAAGAAAAAAAAATCATGGGAGAGAGAATTCAACTTGTGTGCGTTTGTGTAATATGCAATGTTTCCGATATCAAATGATAAATAAAATCAGCAAAGCTCACGAGACGATATAAAAGAAGAAGACGCGTAGTGAAATAAACTCTAATTCGTGATCATATGAGCGTTTCTCAAATTTGCATGTGAAGATGATTTTTAGTAAATCTTATTACAAATAATAAAAAACATTCGGGTCATTGGACTTGATCAAATGATCGAATAAGAAAGCAAGCGGTTCAACAAGTCGACTTGTCCACTTTCTTTGTATTCGCAGTTATGGTTAAACCTTGGTAAAATGAACAATGAAATTTGGGCAAGTCATGTGGGCGGTAAAGCATAACATCAAGTCATGTGTGGAGAGAGAATCATGTGAGATCTGTTTTTATTAATTTTACAAAAAAAAAATGCAAGTTAGAGCATTTTAAGGTTGAATGTACGATTACAATGTAATTTTTCTCTTATCATCAAAAATTCTCCTTAAATCAATTTTCAAAGAAGGAAATAATGTTCCGATATTTATCATAATGAATTTTAATTAAAAGCATGCATTTAATTAATTTTTTTTATCAAAATTAAGGTTATGAACAAAAAATACAAAGAATGTCCTTGTTTAAATTATTAATTATATTTTGATCTTATGTAACCATTACATTCATGAAAC